GAAAGAACAGTAACAAGCAGCACTCTGCCATTCCTGTAAAAATCCTAAGTTTTGCTAACATCCCACAGTATTTTTACCAATAGCACTGTAGATACATGACAATTTCTTCAGTTTACAGGAATCCCAGCTTTCACACAGCAGGTCTCTGCCCACTCAGTGCTCTGTAGCTGCGGTGGCTCTACAGGTTCTCTTTCACATGGCAACCTCCCCTGCACTGCACCTCTACATGGGAGCTAACATGAGCTCATCAGCACCTACACCTCCACAATGCGACTGTCCCCAACCCTGGGCTGCCTTCTGGACGAAAGCCTGCGGACAACTTCCTCAGCAAAACATTTTCTCTAGAAACTTAGTAGCCTGTAGGTGCATTTCTGCCTCATTGTAGGCAGCTGAGGACCTGCGATACATTCTATCTCAAGTCCAGAAACAGCAGACAGCTGTGAGGTTCTTTGCAGTAGGACTTCGTGTGCTACTCTTCGATACAAAGTAACCACATGCTACTGGATAAATGTAACTGCGAAAAGGTTTTTTGTTTTCTTTTTTAAAAAGATGCACTGTCTCTCTCTCAGCCTGACAGCGGCATATCAGCACCAGAGAAACATGGGTTCAGCTAGCTGAACTATTCAGGCACCCTGGAAAAGTAATGTTAGAAGGCAAATACATGAAAATACACAACCAAAAATGTCTCAGTGATAAGCCATACAAGCATTATTTAACACCCTCATTGCTGATCTTAAATTATTCTGAAGGGTATCGAGAGTCACCCCCCTCCCATTTCCACACCCTGCCCCAAGGTAACTAGCTCCCATCCTCCCAGAACAGACCCACCATCTTCTCTATACTACGCACCTTATTCAGTCTACGGTATTTCTGCTAGAAGCAAAAGAAAACAGTTATTTTTACTTAGTACAGCCTCACTTTCATTTGCAGTGACTAACAGGCAACCATTTTTATTTAAAAACAAGACTGTGAAGATAGGACAGAATCAAGTTCCTCCTGTCAATATTCTGAGGATGCACGAGTTTCTTAAAAAAAATAAATTACACCTTTAGTCGCAAGCATACATTAATCAGCTTTGTTATAACAGAAAACTAGAAAAGCAAAACTTCCCCACTATACTTAAAATCCCACCCCTTAAAGCTCAAAGTAACATACAGCATTTTACAATTATTCTGCTACGAGGATGAAGAAGGTAGAAAAAGCTTTGAATTCATGCTCAGATAGAACCAGTTAAGTTCTACTTTTTCTAATTTTAAACCTCTCCCCCTTAAAGCTCCTTTATTATAATTAAAAAAGTCAATGCTCTCACCTGTGATGATCGTCTTCCTTTTCTCTTGTAATCTTCCACCTCTCTCTCCTCCTTAATAGCAGCCATTTTGGAAGGGTACTCTAACTCGGCCTTTCTTTTAGATCTAGGAAACCTAGAAAACAGGTTGGATAAGTCAGTACTCACCCCAACTCCGATGAAGCAGGGCCTTCTCTGTCTGCAGTGCACAGGTTTGTCTTTACAGGAGAGGAAATGGAAAAGGGTAATTGTAGAAAAAATGCAATCATTTCAAAGGGTAAAAACCCTCAGTCTATGTCACCTGGGAGTTGCTGCAAAAAGAACACCAGCTACCAGATGAAGGTGTTTTACAGCTGTTGGAATAATAGGTGCAATATAAAGCAAAAATATGTGATTCTCTGCAGAGAATCACTCATTTCAAATGCTGTCTCTTACATAACTATCATGAACAAGTCTTGTTCTTAAACAATGAAACCCTGCAACTCCAGATTTTAAATCTGTCTTTTTTATTGTAAAAAACATATTGCAAATAATGCTTACTAAAATTATCTCATGCATAACCTACTCTGTCAGTAATCCAGCGTCCTACAAACTGAAAAACTGAAGGATGCAAAATAGTTTCTGTGCTGAAAAATATTTTCCACTAACACCAGTGGAAGAATCCTTTAGTGATTCTATTCTTGCATAACCAGAAATTCCAACAGCTGATCCTCAGGAATCTGCAGCACTGGCCATCTGCATTACTTCCCTTGAAAACGATGTATTTCATTACAACTCTGCACTCTACACTTACGTGCCCAATGTGTATCAATGAATGTTAATGAAGTTATACATCATCACAAAAAGCACTTCAGTAGACAAACTCAGTGAGTGCATCTCTACATAAGCATTTGAAAAAACAAAAAATAATCACATTCCCCTTAACCTTTATAATTTCAAGTTTCCTCAAGATCGTTAAGTTACTCATGCTTTCTTACTATGCTTCTATCTTTAGCAGCAATTTATTACTACTTCAGATGTAACTTGAAACTCATTACAGTAGTTACCTAAATAATATGCTACTGTAAAACCACACTTGTGCTGCTTCCAAGTAATCTATGCCGTCAAGATTAGGTATATTGTTTGTAACGTTTCAAATGTTGGGTTTATCTGCTCTGTTTGTAAAGTGCTATTCCTGCAAATATTGCATAGGGAAAAGCAGGTCGGTCCTAATTAATGTTACACTATACTTCAGTAATTTTCATTCTGACTATAATTCTACATTTAAATTCAAACTAAGCTTTAAGTTAAGATCTTAATATTGAACCCAACTGTGAAATCATGAGTATCATGATTTAATGTCTTAACAACTTTAAAGTTCTAGGAAGTAAAATCAAGGCATGCGTATTAATTACAGTTAAACCTGTCTTGAAATCCTTCAAATTGGTCGATTTAGTTGAAATACTTAGTACCCTAATGTCCTGAGCTGTTCAACTTCTCAAATCCCAAAGGCATGAAAAGCCTAGATACTTTCTCAAGTAACCTAAAGTATCAAATTTCTCTGATTTTGCCATCTGCTTTCTCCAGTGAGGCTCCAACTAACCAACATATAGCTCACAGTGACGATGGGCAGAAGAGAATTATTGCATTACTGATGAATACCATGAGCTGAAGCACAGCCTCAATCCCACCAATTTACAGAAAGTTTAAGAAGCTGTGAATAGTAATTTTTATAATTAATATAAATGAAATATCAACAGCTTTAACATATTCAGAACATTGTTATGTACTGAATTTAACTGTTATTGAAGAGACAAGCAAGGTGGAAATTTCCTTGTCTATTCAGAAAACACTACAGAGATATACTGGCATTTATTTGCGTATAGACAAATTTGGACCTAGTGTGCATGCCACATATCTTGCCAACTCTAAGACTTCAGTCAGCAAATTAAGAGATCTTCAGTTCTAAGCGTGTTGGTAGTTTTCCCAATGCCAACAGGCATATCTGCTGGGAAAAAAACGCACAAGATTTTAGCAAACTTTACTGAAGCATGCTTTGAACTCATCATAGCTCCCTTTGACAACTGTTCAAGGGAATAAAACAATTGCCTACATGGAAAACAGTTATTTTTAGCCATTGTGTTTAGGGATCAGGTTTCTTTTCTGCTTTTAACACAGTAACACAAACTAGTTTGAGCTACTGGTTTCTCTGCTCTGAGTCCTACAAAGGGTTCAGCTTGCCAGGAAGGGGGCACAATGCCCAGAGAGAATGCTGCACTTTTTTACTCGTCATACTTTCAAACGCTTGAGCTAAAAATATATGTTCTGAGGGGAGAGGGGAAAGAAAAGCGGGAGAGGACATCAGTACACTGTTCTCTAGTCGGGGTGCAGATCATCGCCCTAGACTGGATCTGATCTTTACTTGAATGCAAGTTGGGAAAGCGTGGAGCGCGGTTTGTGCAGAACCACTCCTTTGTGCTGCCCACCAGGATCATGGCGGGATGCCATGGATGTCGTGTGTGTTTACAGCCGGGGGCGTGGAGAAAGGGTAATGGCAGCGACCCGCTCCGCTGCTCTGCACTATGCCCCTTGTCCACAGCGCTCACTGCACGTGACAAACATCCACGGGATGGGAGGGCTGGCAAGGGAGAAGCGCAGCTCCGTGTACCATTACACCTCAGCCAGGAGCAGGACGGGACACCGAGCGGCCTCGCCGCTTCCAAAGGCTCCCGCCCAGAAGAAGAGCGATTGAAAAGCGCCGCAACGCCCATCTGCGGGTCTCAGCCACGCAGGAGAGCAGAACAACGGCTTTCACTTCTCGTCACCCTCGCCTCAGTTCAGCTCTAAGCTCTCGGCGCTCCCCGCGCACAGAATGGAAGCTGCGCTCCCCCCACGCTCTGCAGCGCAGCGAAATGGCGGCCGAGCGCCGAGGGGCGGAAGCGCGGCCCGCCCGCAGCCTCCCGCTTCCTGCCCCCCGCCGCCATTGCGGCTGCCGCGCCACGACGCGGGGAAAAGCGACCGCAAGGAACTCGAGAGGCAGCGTTACGCGCCCCGTGCTCGAGCGCGGCGTTCCCGCTCGCCCAGGCGGTGTTATGAGTCCCCCCGCCGCTCCGGGGAGGGTTAGATGGAGGCGGTTCCCTGCCCCCGTCCTGCCGGGCCGCCCCGCTCCCCCCGCGCGGCGGGTATCACCTCCATTTTGTGAGCCCGCCCGCCGCCCTCGCCCCACCAACATGGTGCCCGAAGAAAGGGGGGGGTAAAGGTCACGTGGCGGGAAAGCGGGCCGGCAGCGTCGCGCGGCAGGAGCGCGCGGCAGCCGACGGCGCTTTCTTCCCGCCGCCCTTCCCCCACCCGCGAGGCTGCTAGCCTCGGGCCGCGCGCGGTGCGGGCCTTTCCCGCCCGAACGGGGGACAGCGGGAGAGGAGCGCGGATCGGCTGAAGAAGGAAGGCGGGGAGAGGGAAGAGAAGGCGATAAGAAAAGATATAACCGTGCCAGCGTTCAGCTCGGCGCCTTCCCGCCCCGCTCGGTCCCACGCCGGCGCTGGCCTGGCGCACTCACCGCCGCCCGCTGAGGGGTGGAGACGCGGCGCACAGCCGTTACTGGCAGCGTCGGGCAGGCGCCGCCTCTTCCTCTCACGTAAGGGCACACGGCGGCCCGCCCCTGCCGGGGTGCGGGCTGTGCGGGGGAGGGGTGGCGGGAGCCGTCACGGGGCGGGTCGGCTTTCTCAGTAGGCGGCCGGGCGGGAGGGGTTGCGGTGGTTCGCGCTCTTTGTCAGCGCGTGCGCGAAGCGGCATGAAGCCTTCTGGGCGTTCCGAGCGAGGCGCTGCATTTCCGCGTGTCGTTCTTATCCCAGAGGTAACGCCTAAAGGCTGTGAGAAAGTCCTGCAGCCGTTGAGTTCTCACCCATGGCAAATGGGAGTGGGTTCAGGTTGAGTACCAAAGCACGTGCGGGCAGCGGCGAGCTGCTCCGCGTTTTGTTCTCATGTTGAAGGTGATGCAGAGGCGGGAAAAAAAGCGCAGAAATGTCCCTTGATGAGCTGTGCTCACACGTGCTCTGTCACAGCACCGGGCTCTGATTTGGGACGCTCATCTTTAGAGGTTTAACCTTTAGCCTATATTTCCTCGAGAGAAAGAAAAAAAAAAAATAAGGAAAAAAGTAAGGTATTACAGCCTGTCATAATGCTACTAGAATGAATTTCTTTAATGTGGAGAGATACGTTCAATAGGTTTGGAAATGTTCTCACCACAGCTGTGCACCGAAGTTGAAAAAAAGCGTTCCGAGCACGGGCTGTATTTTAATCTGTAAGGAGAGGCGACTGCCTGCAAAGTAACCCTGCTGCGTGTCTCAGTAGCCTCTGCCTCATCTTTGTGCTGTGGCTAAGCCCATTTGCTTCTTATCTCCCTTTCTTCTCCCCAAACATATTGCACGTTTTTTTTTTCTTCCCAAATGAAAATCTTAATATAGGTGTCATTTACATTGGTTGTTCTTTTGCCCTTGAGCACCATAAAACAAACAACAGCGCTGGCTGAATACGTGGCACAAAATACTTGTTAATTACGAAGATTTTTGTTGTGTTATTCTGGAACTGCCTCAGTTTGAGGCATGCCTGCATTAGTCTGATTGCTGTTCGTTTTCCACTTTGTGTCAGACAGGGAGCTGTTTGTTTTGCAGCCTGATCTGGTTGTACAGCCACAGGTAGATCACATCTGAATTCTGCATTCATGATTGTCCTCCCCTACAGATAATCAATTAGTATGCAGTGTAGTCATTTTATTTATTGTGCTCACTGTGCTGGCATAAAGGACAAACTAAGAGATGCTTAGGGGTGGAATACCACACCTGTGAGGGCAGCCTAAGAGACCTGGGGCTGCTCAGGCTGGAAAAGAGAAGGCTGTGAGGTGACCTGATAGTGGCCTATCATTATCTAAAGGGGAGCTACAGACTCTTTATCAGGGTCTGTGGTGATAGAATAAGGGGAAATGGTTTCAAGATTAAAAAGTGTTGATTTAAATTGGATATATGGAAAAAGTCTTCTACAGTGAGGGTGGTGAGGCACTGGCACAGGATGCCCAGGGATGTGGGGGATGCTCTGTCCCAGCAGACTTTCAAGGCAAGGCTTGATCAGGCCCTGGGCAACCTGATGTAGCTGTGGTGTCCCTGTTGAGTGCAGGGGAGCTGGGCTAGATGGCCTTTAAGGGTCACTTCCAATTCTAAGGATTCTGATTCTGTGATGCTGTGAGGGGGGTTACACATTATAAAAAGATTCACAGTTCCTTATGAAAATTATCCACAAGTATGAGATCTTGGATGAAAAACTGTACTTTTGATTTCAGACAAACAGTCTTATGCTGGCAAGGCATTTTGAGGTTGGTTGTTACCCAGAAGAATATTGCTTCACATTTCAGATTGCACATTAATTCCTTAGGAGAAAATGTACCGTTTAATACACTTGTAACTATTCTGATTGATGTGGTGGCATCATTGTAAGTAATTTCATATTATGTAGCATTATATTATATATTAGAAGCAGCTCTGATTATCCATGCAGATGATTAACATGCTTTTTTTTTCCTAGCAGTTTTTGCAAACGTACTTTCTTTGTAAGCCTAAGGAACAGTAGTTTGCACCTGCTTCAGTATATGTGGGAAAGATTTTTGAATGTTATCTATTTCTGTGGCTGAAATTCTGGTTTCTCATGTCATTTTCATTTATTTGTTTGTTTATTTTCACTTGGCTCTTATGTGGTTTTAGATTGTGGAGTGGATCTTTGAGTACAGAAATCTTACCCCCAAACTTATCTGTCTGTTTTTTAATGTTGTTACACAGAGATTGGAAATGTGACTTCAAAAATGGCTGTGAATTCTGATCTCCTGGATAGTACTGTTAATGGAATTCATTCACCAAACCAGTGATGTTTTTCATACGCCTCTTAAGTAGCAGAAACAAATGAGGTTATTATAAATTAAATGATAGCATTGTGGTGGTAGTTCTGCAAATGTGGTCAGTCTAAATTTATTTAAATTTTGTACATTGAAAAGGAGACAACTGCTATTTTGATAAGAAGGTCTGAGTGCTGCGTAGTAAAATATTCATGTGAGTTTTGGAACAAAAATTTAACATTCAGTTATTTTTTTTCTGGGTTGGAGAAATATGGGGTATTTAAACATGGTTAGGTGTGACATCAACACTTGGCTATTCTGCAAGCAGGGCTGCTCCTCCTCTCCTTCAACTGAAAACAGTTGTTCTCATCTCTGCACGGGTTTAAATTGCTGGACTGAAAAAGACAAGATGATGTGTTAATGTAAATTCTGATAGCATTTTGGCAGTTCTTGTAATCGTAGGCAGCACAGGCTATGTGAATACTCTTTACCTAATTAATTAAAAAATACCTAGAACAAATAACCTGATTATTGACATCAGAATTAGTAGTCTGATTATGCTCTGGTATTTGCTTCATTTCAGAAATTGGTAATAATTCTCTAAATACATATAAAAGTGGTCTATTTACATACATTAATAATACTCCATATACACTCCAGAAACAGCAGTTGTTCTATAAGGCTTTTTCCACTCCAGGCTGTGCCAGCTCACATGTCCAACACCCCAAAGCTCTGGCAGTCCCTGGAGGACTCAGTGGCAGTGTAGTAGCAGTGGTTTGAGATAGTCTTTCACCTTTCTCTTTACGTTTTTTTCCCATGGAAGTCACAGAATGCAGGTAGATATGTAAGTTGCTTGAATTTAGTTTCCTGTGGTTAATAAATGATAGAAGTGAGTTGGAAGTAACATGTGGGTCTGAGACCTAGTTCGCCTGGAGCTAAAGCACACATGCGTGTCTGCTCTCCTGACTGAGCTTTCGTAATCTCCAGCAAACTCCTGGGCAAATAACACCAAACTCCTGCAACCAAACCCGTTAGACACCATCTGTCAGAGACCTTTGGACATTTTCACATGACTTGTATTCCTCAAGAGCTGCATCTCAGGGCTGTGATCCAGGAGAGAGATCAAAACAATTAGCAACGAGCTTGATTAAAAATACTTTCAAACTACTTTCTCTTTGTATATTTTCACTTGGGACCATGAGATTAATGCTTTCTGCGATAAAATATTTATTCCTATGAATATTTCATATATGAGTCAGATATGTAATATGGAAAATAATCCTGCATTTTGGATTGATGTAGAAATTAATACATTTTCTTAAACATTTTTTTCCCAGTTGTTTTGCCCTTCTCTGGGTCCTAATTAAATCTGAATGTATTCAGACTCTCTGTTATTCCATAAACTGCTTTCTCTATTTGTTTTTGTCTCCATTTTTCTCAAAATTTTATTTGTTTTACATCTTCTGTCAAAAATTAAACAAGGTGTGCACCTTTGGAATAATTACGAGGACCAACCAAACAATAAAACATTAAAAGTGAAGGAAAGATGCCTTGTTTAGGTGCCATTTTAACGTGGTTGGCTTTGTAATTTTGTACACGTTTATATTTACTGTCTGAACCTTTGTAATTCTATTTCTAGCACAGTTATGCCCAAGGCACAGTGTAAGGGTGTCGTGCTAAAGTGTCAACAATCACATTTAAGAAGCTTACTTGTAGTAATGCATGCCTAACATAGTCTATGCTGCTTGATTTATATTAGGCTCTAGGGTAAATTTAGGGCTATCTTAAAAGCAATGTACTTTGTTTCTGCTGGATTTTTTTTTCTTTTTTTTGGTGAGCAAACATATTTTCTTTAGATCAAACAGAAAGGTGCATTTGTATTGCTAAGGGGAAAATACCATTCCTCATCAGTTTTAAGCCTACTGTAATAATCACAGCTGAAAACTTGAGGTAAAATGAAAATTAATATGCTGTGTTTGAGATGCTGGTGTATCCTCATGCTTTGCTAAGATATATGTGAAAAATCATCATCGCGTGCAAAAGTGTAAGAAAGACAAGCTTTCTAGAATGAATTTTAATGAGTTCATATTGTCTTTACAGGAGGAAAAGAGCTGAAGATAGAGAGAGAGAAAAATGGAGGACACAGCAGGTAATATCTGCTGTTCTTGAGATGCAAATTCTTAAGAATAGCATGTAATTATTCTTGACCTTTGTGTTCATTCTTTGTTACTAACATTTGAAAAACACTCGTTATCAATAACTGTACTACTAGCAAAATGATTTTATTGGGTATGTTTTATTAAGGGGAGGAGCTGCAGGTGAGTTTCTTGCTTGCCTATGTAGCTGTGCAAGAGAGTAAGGCAGGGAAAATAAATCTTGCTCTTTCGTTGACTGCAATGCAGATCTGGCTCTGGGAGGGGTTTTCAGATCTGCATGGCTCAAGCACATGGTCAGCGTGCAGCCAATAGTTCGCCTTACATCTGGCAGTGGGTCTGCGTGGCTCAAAATGGCTGACTGTGCCTGCTGAACGTGACAACATCTAACTTCTTGCTCTAAATCGAATTTGCACTCATTTGGGCTGTGATTTATGTATCAAATGTAGTGCTAGCTGTTTATTTGGTGTATGCAGTAGCTACCCTTACTTCTGTTTTGCCAAGGACTGTCGCTGACAGGTTTTTTTTGGTCCGTTTTATGCTTGTTTTAACAACAGCTACATAAAGGATTCCTTTCCTGCACTAATTCTCTCAGCTATGCTTAAGGTGCTAGGACTGTGCTTGCTCAGGGCATAGAATATTTCAGCCTGGCTACATGTTGTACTCCATTTTGAATTATTATGTTCTCCAGGAATTCAGATATTTGAAGAGATGTTGAATTGATTTTCCTTTTTTGACAGTTATTTTCTGTTCCTACAGCAAGAATTATTTTTATTTGAGATTTTTAGGTTACTGCAATGAAAGAATGTGTACAGTTCTCAGCATATAGATGGCATGAGACATACGTGGATAATGTTAGGTCTTCCAAAAGCTGACCAAATACATTTCAATTCCAAGGTGTAATAGCACACGTGCAACGGTTTGCATTTGGAACTCCAAGTCTTATCTATTTTAAAAAATATTTCTAAAGTCTACATAGTTATTTAAATGTGTTAATAAGAGGATGATAATGTAAGAAGGTTATGCAGGAGATTTGAATGTAAGGTTGACTAGCTAATACATTAAAAAAAGTTATTCATTTTTAAGACTGTAACTTTAAGTGATGTTGTGTAAGCAAAAGCAATTCACTTTCATTTTAAATGGAATTGGAATTAATTTTAATTGCTGACATTTTGCTTCTGGAGGACTGACAGACAATTGTTATTTGTAGAGTGTCATTTGACTTCTCTGAAAACTATCACTCCTCTGGAAAGGTCCTATACACATTTAGCATCTTTCTAACATCAGCAACCATGTTGCAGTTGTTAGCAGGTAAAAGTCTGTATTACCCAGATGTCAGGGGACTTGGTTACAATATCTTGTACCATCTGTAGTTAAGTTGTAGTTTAGTTTTGTGGTGTTTGAGAGATTTAAAGAAACCATCTAACAACGTCTCCAAAGTATGCAAGAATTCTGGGTGAAGGGTTTAAAGTTATGAAATCAGATTCTTATCTGATGTGTGTTCCGTGGACTTTATGTTGGCTGAGGCTTAGGCTTACAACCAAAGCAGTCCTAAGTAACTTGTGGATATTACCAGTTTTCATATGTGAGCCCCATTTCAGAGGGGGTGCTCAAAACCTGTAGATACATAGATCTATTTATTTCCCTTCTGGAATGAAGCTGAAGAAGTACTACCATGAGCTCTGTGACTTAGGAGTTAGTAGGTTTGTTCAGCAAAGAAAGCTGTACCATTTCAGACACTAGCTGTGGTTGTACCATGACATTTCCAATGGTGAAAGTTTCTTGTAAATTTTGGCGTCTCTCAGTATATAATATTTTATTTAAAACTCAAGAAATGTGCTTGTAATGTAATTATGGATAACGTTCAGCTGGCTCTCTGTAGAACAATTCTGGTGCTGCCATTTTATCTAAGAATTGAGAACTTGGTGAGCTTCCTGTGCAGTCGTGTGCTAACCCTCCAGTACGCCTGTTGCTTTTATTCTCTCACTGTTTGGAAGTTGGCCATAGAAATAATTAAAGTTGCTTCTGTTCTGTAGTCATCTGCCCAAACAGAGGGCTTTTCTGGTTGTTCGTTTGTTTGTTTCTTAAGCTTATCACCCTTCCAAGAGTTTAAGTAGACATGCAATTATACACTACATACTAGTGGACAAGAGGACTTCTTTGTCAGGCCTGGAGCAGAATTGAGCTGAATTACTTCTCTGTGAAGGGTAAATAGGAAAAGGACTATTTAGTATTAAGTTCAGTTTCACTTGGAGTGAGTATGTCCAGACCAGGTGCTGCCAGGTGCTACTGTCTGTTTGATAACTGTCTCATAAACTCAGTTTGTAACATCAGGAATCATGTTTCATTTTTGTCTACCTTACCTATGTTATATTAGTATGCCAGAACAGCATACATTATTAAACATTATGTGTACACCACAAGTGCAGATGTCTCCTCAGACCTTGTTCAGGCCTTCCCGAGATTCTACTGTTCTGCCAAGAGCTCTGTGAATATTGCTGCTCCTGCTGAGGTTCTGCATAGGTCACAATTTAGGTAGGATGGTGAGGAAAGAGGAGGGCATCCGGGCGAGTTTGGGATATCTCCAGAGGAGATCCACTGCCCCTCTGGGCAGCCTGTTCCAGTGCTCTGTAACTCACAAAGTCAAGAAGGTTTTTCTTATGTTCCTATGGACCTTTTAACATTCCAGTTTGTGTCTGATGTCCCTCATTCTGTTGCTGGGTGCTGCTGAGAAGAGCCTGGTCCCATCCGCTTGGCTCCTGTGATTTTGATATTTATAAGCATGATGATCCCTTCTCAGTTTTCTCTTCTCCAGGTTGAACAGTCTCTGAATACCTTACCTTTCTTTTAAATTTATTTTTTTCAATTTGCTGTTCTTCTTAATAATCATGTATAGCAGAGGAAAATCTGTTAACAAAAATATATATATGTATATAAAAAGAATGGGCTTGATGAATTTAATAGGGGGATATCACAGAAAGAAACAAGCTTCTCTGTTTTCTTTCCATATGAGTGCTTAATGAATTTCAGACTCCAGACTTTATTACAATTGTATTTACAACTGATAATAATTCAAGTGAAATTAGTCAATTTAGAGCACATGACATAAGAATAACATCAGAATAAACTCTCTGAGTTCATATACACTATATCACCTATATTTAAATACTCAACAACTTTTCCACAAAAGCTTACGTCTGATACACCAGTTTCAGAGCAACAGTATTCCACCATCTGATGGTGTTTTATTTCCAAGTTTTCTTTTGGAGCTCTCAATAGATGTTTTCTATTATTATTACTTTTTTTTTTTTTTTTCTTTTAACTCATGGATAAGCTGCAACCCAGTTCTTTTTGTAGCTTACCTTTATTTCCAATTTTTGATTGTATCTTCAATTTTTATTACTATGCTCTTTATCTTGGCTTTTTTTAACGTTCTCAAAAATTGTATTAAATTGATGATAGTTTTATTTTTGTACTTACTACGTGTATTTTTCTCCATTTTCTACTTTTGATTTTAAATTCAGATGGTCAACATAGCTCTGAGTAAGTTTAATTAGATGTTGAAGACTAGTAAATATAAGGAATATGTTTTACTTGCAATACCACATCAGTATTTTGCTCTGCAGTCTGAATCTGGAACTTTAATAATTGCATGCAAATTTATGATCTTTGCAAAGCATTCTGTTCCCATTAGTTCTTGGTAAAGGAGAAGTCCTTTCCAAAACGGACTGGACGACTAAGATCCACATTCCCACAGACTGGTTGATCTAAGCTAAAATTTCCGATTCCATAATCATCATGCTAGTAATTTAATGTATCAATTCCACTGCAGAATTAAATATTCTCAGCCATAAATGCAGTCCTATTTGTTGAGATTGTCTATTAATTCAAAAAGTGACAAAAATTAGTTGATGTCATGTTGTTTTTTTTTACATTACATTCCTAAATCCCATCATGTTTCGCTTCATTTCAACAGTGACTTAATGGACTTGCAAGTTGTTAAGAACACCGTTTGTCTTTTACTAATAAGGGTGATGGTAAATCCTAGTCTGTCAATTTATGTATGGTGCATGATATTTAAAGCCGTTTCCTCATACTTAGATTAAATAATTAAATAGATTGATCTTATTTGTTTTGGCAAACACCACAGGTATGCTAGATCTATGTTATGCTACATAATTCCTCTATTTCTTTGGGAAGAGTCAGGTTTGGGAATATCAAGCCCCAAGGCCTTTTGCAAAGTAAAGGGAAGAATTAAGTACTGTTGACTTCATGACAGCATTTGAAAGAATGTTAGTATCTTGAGTATAAACTTTTGCACTTGTAGTACTAAAACTCTCATCTAACTTAGAAGCTGGTTGGATGTGAAGTTGTGAGATAGGTCAATTACTAGACTTTATAAATATACTGGCTCTGAAGAAAGGGTTTCTAAATTCCTGAAATGGGGACAAACCTGGCTTAAGTTAAACGCAACACATTTGTCAAATGAACTTTGGGTGGTGACATACACGTTAGTTTTATTCCCAGACAGCTTTGTATACAATTTAAAGCAGTGAGAATTACTGGTGTTACGAAGCCTGGTCTAGAGCTGTGAATTACTTTTTTTTTTTTTTTTTTTTTTGTCTTCTTCACCATTCCACATATAAATACTGAGAAGCTTGGCATAAAGAACGCAGCCTGAGGCATACCCCATAAAACATACAATGCAATTAAATGAGCAATTTCTACTGGAAATAAAATGGGTATGTTGAGTGGAATATGAATTAAGCCAAGCAGGAACAGAGTCAGACAAGCTTTGATAGTACTCCAGGCTTTTCAAAAGAACCCCCAGGGTCAGAGGTGCCAAATGCAGCTGACGGGTCAAGGCCAATCAGTAAAGAAAGATAACTGCAGTTTGCAATGAAAAGCAGGTCGTTCCAAATTTTGATTAATGCAGTCTCAGTGCTGTGGTGTCCACCTGAGTGGGTTAGCAAAATAAAGACAGATAGCAGTGGAT